AGTCGCTGATTTAAAAAATTCTGAAAAATTGCCTGAAGATGACTGCCAGTCGAAACTTGGCCCACATATAGACGAGACCTTGCTCTACATAATGCATCCCAAATTTACGTTCCCACTTTTCAAGTTACATAGGAAACAAATGTTAAACTCCAACTTACGAAAACCAGACGCTTTTTTGAAAATTTCTGCAAAATTGCCTGAAGATAACTGAAAATCGAAACTTGGTGCACATATAAAAGAAACATTGACCTGCAAAATGCATTCAAAACTGGCTTTCCCTCTTTGGATATTGCAAAGAAAATCATTTCTAAGCTCCAACCTACCAAAATCACCACGAAAAACAGTCGTTGATTTAAAAAATTGCGAAAAATTGCCTGAAGATGACTGAAAATCGAAACGTTGTCCACTCACAGAACACACTTTGCCCTAGCAAATGCATACAAAAAAACTGCTGAGTTTCACTGGTTTTCGCGAAAAAAAAAATGTCAACAAATCCTCCAAAAGCTTCTTTACAATTAACTGACGATGACTTTAGACCGAAACTTTGAAAAAACGAAAATGTGCCTGAGCTTGTGATTGGTTCAAATAAAAAGCTACAGTCCGAACTGGAATGGCGGTCAAAACGCATTTAAAATAGATGGCGCTTTTGATTAGTTAGGCAACCAGGAAAAAGGTAATAAAAATGTTTTTTCGTAAGTAACTCGAAAACAAGCACAGATACGCAAACAATGCAAAAGGCCGAAAAGTTGCCAGATTGAATGGAGAATTTGGGGAATTAAAGTTTTTTGGGATGAAGCATCAGTGGCGTCCCCAAAGGCGAATGTGATCCTGGACGTGGAAAAAGCTTTACTTTAAGCCCTTGAAATTTCTCGCCAATTATAAATACAGAGTGTGCGAAGAAAATTTTACATAATTTTTTTTGGTTCCAGCCTTTTCCGTGTTCGGAACCTCGCCTGGGAGCAGTAGTAGTAGTTCGGGATCGTTCCGATCCACCCCATCGCCTCCACCCAGCACCTCCCCCATTTACTCATTTAGCTCCGGATCTGATGAGGGAATCGGCATGGACTATCTTCTGGAAGATCAGCCGCGCAAGAAAAAGGTAAGACGACACTTCGACTAAGATCACCCGAAAAACAGCGATTTCGTAGTGTTTCAAGTGCTGAATGGCCATGAATCATTAAACATTGCGCTGTTAAACACTTGGGATTAATAACAAAAAACGGTCGCAAACAATGGATTGCTTCAACTGTTCGCCACTTATCAGCACCTAATCTTCTTTAATTGATAAGAGGCTTTTTCACAATTGAATCGATCGGGAAATAAAGCCAGTTTATCTCAGCCTTGGTTTTTTCTCCAAACATTTCCAACTGGTTAGTTTCTCGTTGATGACGTCCCTGTTTCGTAAATGGGCGCGTCAAGACCATGGTAGGTTGATGTTGGGTGTGTTATTTGTTCAAACTGCTGTGTGCAATGGAACAAACATTACGTCAGCATGTGGGCGCTGCGATTTTATTGGTGAATTGCCGATGACGACATTTCGCCAATAATGCGCTTGTATGTCGACTACCAAGTTCAACCAATGGTGGCGGTTTTATCGGGGATTTTTCTAAAGTTTTCGGGGGAATTTGCCGCCCTGTATATGCCTGCTAAGGCACTAAACGCTGAACAGTCAACGTGGCTTTTTTGCCCATTTTTGGCTCATCGGCATCGAAACGGGAATAACGGAACCGAAGAAGCGACGTCCAAAATCCGTAATAATGTGCACGTTTCAAGCGGTTGATCATGCATTTTAATTCAACTGTCCCGCTACTGGGCATCTTTTAATACTCCTTAACCTGGCTAATCTTGACCCTTTAATTTTAATTAATTAATGACCCTTGGCAGGAACCACTGGTGTTCGTCCTTGCCACTCTTCAGGAAATCGAATACGGCTAATCTATGTCTTCCTATCATTGTTTGGCTGGCCACAATGGAGTTGGGAAACTTCGTGTTACCACTTTTCAATGTCTTCAGACTATCTAAAATTTACCTCTTTGTAGTCGCATTTTTATGTGGAATCTTGCAGAATGGGGCTTGTCAAATGACTCAAATTGTGGCTTATCTGCTTCTTCAAAACGTATTTATCAGCTCGAATGTGCAATATTGAGCTTAGTAATATCCGGTCGATGACTTCCACTCTTGCATTCAGATTCCTGTAAATTACATTTGGGAAAACTCACAACTTGTGTAATGAATTTTGCAGAAAAATGCACAAATTCATCTTCAATGTGAAAGAAAATGGCAAAATGTTCAGGTCTCCCTACTAGACCTGAACATTTTGCCATTTTCTTTCACATTGAAGATGAATTTGTGCATTTTTCTGCAAAATTCATTACACAAGTCCCTTTCTGCCTTGTCTGCTTTTTGAACAAATAACTGCTTAACTATCGCCTGCATAAGCAATCGAAAAATACAAACAAAATTTGAAGAAAATCCCGAAAATTCCCTGAAGATGATTCAAAATCGAAACTTTTTTCACTTATAGTATAGAACAAACTTGAGTGACAAACAAAAGTGACTCTCCAGCGGTGCAAGTTTCTGAGCAAATAAATGTGAAACTTCGACCCACTTAAATCTCTCCGCAAACCACATGCAATTTTGAAAAATTCCTGAAAATTGCCTG